AGGCTATGAACCTAGGGGAAACCATTAAGGAAGGCAATGAGGCATCCTCTGTGGATCGAGCGAAAGCCATGATTTTTCTCAAACGCCACATCCATGAAGGCTTGAAGTGTGAATACCTTACTGTCAAGGATCCGTTGGCCTTTTGGAGAAATCTCAAGGAAAGATATGACCATCAAAGGACAGTTATTCTTCCTAAGGCTCGCCATGATTGGATGCATTTGCGTCTACAAGATTTCAAATCAGTGGCTGACTATAATTCTGCTCTGTTCAGAATTAGCTCCAAGTTAAGACTTTGTAGAGAAAATATAACTGATGCAGACCTATTGGAGAAAACTTTCACCACATTTCATGCCTCCAATGTGGTTTTGCAACAACAATATTGAGAGCGAGGTTTCCAGAAGTGTTCAGACCTCATATCTTGTCTACTTCTAGCTGAACAGAATAATGAGCTTCTGATGCAGAACCATCAGTCCCGTCCGACTGGATCTGCACCATTCCATGAAGTGAATGCTGCATTGGCACCATCTCATGAGGCATATGCTACCTCATCACATGGCGACCGCCGTCGAGGACATGGTCGTGGTAGGGGTACCCATAATGGTCAAGTTCAAAATAGTAGTAGCCACCGCTTGGGTCCAAGAAATACCCAAGCATCTCATAACCACCAGAAGTGGAACAAACAAGACAAGGGAAATGGCTCCTAACCTCACCTGACAGGGTGATTGAGGAAGCATGTCATAGGTGTGGTACAAATGGGCATTGGGCACGTGTATGCCGCACACCAAAACATTTGGTTGATCTTTACCAAGCCTCAATCAAGGGCAAAGGAAAAAAGGTTGAGACATATTGGATGGATGCTGATCCAACAGAGTTAGAACCAGTGGATGCAACTCACCTTGATGTCTCAGACTTCTTTGTTGATACTGATGGCAAATCTTTTCATCCTATGATTAGTGATGGGATACTCCCCAATTAATTTTGTTGAAATTTTTTTTTCGCTTTATGTTGTTTAATCGCGTTTGAGCTAAGTTTAATTCCTGTGTTTTTTTTCCCTTTCACATGTTAGTTTGGATCTTTTTCATTGAATAAAATCGAATAAAAGACTTCATTTGAATAACATTTTTTTTCCTATTTTATTATTATTATTATTATTTTCTCTTCGAACAACATTTTTATACATATATATTTTCTTATAAATTTGAAGGCATGGAAAACAATCATGGATCCTCTCGTCATGGGAGAAATGATGAAGATATTTTGTCTTGCAGATAGTGCAACTACGCACACAATTCTTCGAGATCAAAATATTTTCACAACTTACATTTATCAAAAGCAAAGGTAACTACCATACTAGGTTCTGCAAACCTAATTGACGACTCTGGAAGAGCTCATTTTTTGTTACCCAATGGGACTCAATTCTCCATTGATAATGCTTTGTACTCTTTGAGATCGAAAAGAAATTTACTCAGCTTTAAAGACATTCGAATGAACGGGTACCATATTGAAACTAGAAATGATAATAATGTGGTGTATCTTTGCATTACCACCAATATTAACAGCCAGAGGCGTATATTGGAAACACTTCCTGCTTTCTCTTCTGGGTTGTATTATACAACCATCAAAGCAGTTGAAGTCCATGTTATCATGAATCAGAATTTCATTGACCCAACGACCTTCATGCTTTGGCATGATCCTCTTGGGCATCCTGGATCCACAATGATGCGTAGGATTATTTCAAATTCAAATGGACATCCTTTAAAACCATACCATAGTACTTTGTCCATTGACCAGTCTTGCAAAGCTTGCTCTCAAGGGAAATTGATCATTAGACCTTCTCCGTCAAAACTTGACTTTGAATGTCCATCTTTCTTACAGAAAATTCAAGGGGATATTTGTGGGCCAATTCACCCATCTTGTGGACCATTTTATTATTTTATGGTTTTAATCGATGCATCTACAAGATGGTCACACGTTTGCCTATTGTCAACTCGTAATGTTGCTTTTGCTAGGCTCCTTGCTCAGATAATTAAATTACGAGCACAATTCCCTAATTATCCGATAAA